CCCAACCCAGCCTCCAGGCACACAGGCTGATCACTGGGCTTGGTGTTAGTTACAAACCCTTTCTGCGCCACGTAATTGCACATTGTGGGCAAACCACTCAGCCTCCTAAGCCTGTATTCCCATCTGGAAAATGGGGAGAGCGGTCACAGCCCACAGTGCTGATTTGAAGGCTGGATGTAGTAACAGGGGGGAGTGTTTAATACATGTGTGTTTAATAAATGCCCGCAGGAATTTCACACCTAAACCTTGGTCCAAGCTTCCAGCACCCACCAGCAGCTGGAGACACATGCTCCCTGCCCCCACCAAAGCCTCAGCTGGAGTAAACGAGAACACGCAGGAATAAAAAGCCCCATCAGACAGACACGTCTGCATATGCCACACACGAGGAGCAGGAGTTCTGACGGTTCTGCGTTCAGGTTCAACGTGGGAAATGCACGTTTCAGAAGCAGGTCCTCTCCCCTCCGCTCTAAAAACCTAAGCCAGCAAATGGCCACACACGAAAAGCAAAGTGCCCCACGGGGCACTCAAAGCGGCCTCAGAATTACCTCGCTCAGATTTTGCCCCTGCAGGGGGTGGTTTTCTCTGCACTTGCTTGGTAGCTTAAAAAGAAAAATCCACAGGAAGACTCATTATAATGAAGCTTAAACAGGGCCTCAGTGAGCTCTTCATGCTGTCTGTAGGCACCAGCCATGCCCAGCCAGGCCAGACGGCGGAAGCGAGCCGGGCAGGGAATGTGTTCAGGGAGCAGGGGTCCCGACTGGCAGGAGACAGGGTGAGGTGGCCCGCAGGGGAGATGTGCGCACCAGGAAGCTGCCACCCAAAAGCAGGTAAGACCGGAAGAGAAATGCATGTTCCCAGCTGTGTGAGTCAACTAGCTTAAGGCCAAGTAAAGAAAAGCAGGATCAAAATCACTTTCAAAATCCAATCACAATTCTGTGAATTACCCTTGTTATCAAATGAATTACATCCAAGGAGAAACAACCAATGCGTGTTAATGAGCAGCCGTCCTCTTAGGCACCACCCCAGGGCAAAGCAGGCAAACACCACAGCAAAAACACACACACACCGAGGGCTCCGAGCTCCCTGCCTGGGCCAGCGCAGGGCGGAGAGACCACTGACTAGTCCAGGCCTCTCGAGACCCGTACAACATCCACAGGCCCCTGAGCACCTCCTTAAAGCCAACACAGGCCAGATGCCCCTTGAGTTGTGCAGAATCTAAACCCAGTTGCCTGGGACAGACCCCCGGGGGCTGTGGGAGAGCCCGGCTGTCTCCCATCCCCCAAAGAAGGCAACTCTACACTTTATAGCACCACTAGGAGCAGGAGTGGAATCGCTCCCTGCCTGGTTCCCCAAACTAACTGGGTTTACTCACACGGGCACAGGGGATCGGGCAGCGGGCAGGTGCTCTGCCAAAGGGCCCACTCCCAGCAAGTTCAAGTGTGCAAGGGCCACACCCAATGTGAGGTCACCCATAGTGACCTATCCAGAGACACGGAGCCACTCGTCTCACTAGGGGGCTGAAAAACACCTCCTGGGGGCCCGGGACTTGGGGGTTAGAGAACCTCAGCCAATCTCTTTTCCTGCCACTGTTTTATTTTTTTAATTTTTTTTGACGTTTATTCATTTTTTGGTAGAGACAGAGCGTGAGTGCAGGAGGGGCAGAGAGAGAGGGAGACACAGAATCCAAAGCAGGCTCCAGGCTCTGAACTGACAGCACAGAGCCCGACGCGGGGCTCAAACTCACAGACCGTGAGATCATGACCTGAGCCGAAGTCGGACGCCCAACCGACTGAGCCACCCAGGTGTCCCATCCTGCCACTGTTAATCACACGGCTGCATTCTCCTCATGCTTAAAGTGAGCTGCTTAGACTTATTCATACAAATTCTTAGGGTCTTGATTTCTTCACTGATCAAAAGTGGGGATTCAATGATCTACCTTGGAAAATTGTCAAAAGGATTACAAAGAAAATGAGCCATCTGGCGGTTAGTGAACTGTAGGTGCCCGTCAGCTACCAGAAGTGGCTAACTGTCAGGGGCCTTCGGAGAGGAGGAGGGCACATGCTGACAGCTGCCCCTGACGTGGATTCCAGAATGTTCTTCTTACCGGTGCCCGGTGGGGTCTTTGGGGAGGGCGTGGTTTTCGCTGGAATCCTGGTGGCATTGGCCTGGCCTTTCTGGCCTGGAGGGGCCGCTCCCCGGGGTGTGGCGATCTTCGTTCCAGCTTTACCGTCCGCCCCCTGTGAACCGAAGCACGGCACAGTGGTTTTTACGATCGGGGAAGGTTACTATCACCTAGAGTCAGTGCCAGTCCCACTCAACCTCCTCGATTCAAAATGAGGCTAAGATCCAAAACGACCCTTCGCCTACTAGGATGCGACAAATGTCTTCTACAGTCTCATGGGTTTGCCGGTACACCAACCCACAGCCCCACCCAAACGCCACATGCCCTGACTACCATTTTCCACAACAGGCATCAGCATGAGTTGTGCTAATGTGTTCCATAAAAAACACAACAGGGCTTATAGTGAGGATCAAGCTCTTTATCCACCCAGGGCCCATCATGGGCAGGACACTCCTATATGGACAGCCACTTTCTGATTCTCTGTAGGGATTTATTTATCTGACTGATGGTGGTTGGTTTCACCAGAGAGCCGCGGAGACACCGATGAACCTGACCTCGAGCGCTAACAGAGCTAGGTCATTGTTTTCTTCTCTCCCAAACAGCCCTCAGGTTTCAGTGACTCCTGAGTGTGCTGAGAGCCTTTGGCGGGGTGAACACCAGCACCAATCAGCCCACCGGCCAAAGGTCCAGAGCCCCCAGGCACAGCCTGCTGACTGCAGGCAGTTACTGGCTTTGACCTTGACACATAACGCAAACTCAAAAAAGAAACGGACATTCACCAAAGACCACAAGATGGTTCGGCAGAGGAGTGACCTTGTGGGACAGGCATTGCTGTGTCCAACCCAAATGAGGGCAATCTGGAAGCTCTCTCCAGTGCCAAAGGGCGGGGATTTTCAAATCAGGGTCCCATGGGGTGCTGTGGGGGCTGCTCTGAGGGACTAACGGAAGCGGAGATAAATGGTGCCACGCCCCCCTTTCCCCTTTCAACCAGACTTGTCTTTGCTCTACACGGTGCTTCCAGGTAAGAGTTTATCCAAAGGAAGGTCTTTGTGGCTAAAAACAACACACATCTGAAAACCATATGAGAGCAGCCTGATTCTTTTCAAAGGCGGTTTCCTTACCTTGACTTTCATCTCCTTTGCTCCAGAACTGCCAGTTCGGGGTGTGACAGAAGAGACGTGTTTAGGAGAGGAAGATGACTCTGGGCACACGGCAGGGCTGGAGGGTTTGATCAAAGGGTCTGAGCTACCAGGAGTGGGGCGTTTGGGGCTAAGGCAAGGCCTATTTTTCAGGGTTTTAGCAGAGGAAGGTGTGGATGTCTTAAACATAAACATAAATAAAATCAAAATAAAAGTCAGCACATGGGGGAGGGGAACAAACTGAAAAAGGACAGTAACTAAAAATAAACATGGCAGGTCATGGTTTAAAGCAGTGATCTCCAAACTGTGTGGATCACGTACCCTTATCCACCCTTCTCGTCCCTAAGAACAGAAAGCAGCCACACACCCTAACGTCCTCATACTTATTTATAGGTGAAATATGTATACTATGATGCCAACATAGGATGTATATTTAAAAACGTATGTATGACAGAACTTTTAAACGAGAAGAGGAAAAAAAAAACCCAATGGGAGTTCTAGAATGTTCTTTAGTCCATTGGATCTTCTTGGGCCGCCCCCCACCACCCCCACTTTGGAGACCACTGGTTTAAAGGTGTTTCATGCCCAAAGAGTTAATGGAGATTGCCAAAGCATATGGTTCTTAGGGTGTTTTTCAAGAAAACATCCCCAATGTGTCATAGGTCAGAAGGGCCCCACTTTCTGCTAAATTCCAGGTGAGGAACTCATGCCGGCCTGCTAATCCTTGGCCGCCTTCTGCCACACTGAGAGTATCATGCTTGCTAAAATCACGACTGTGCTTGCTCCAAGTCTTAAAGATTCTGTCTCATACCTCAGGTCACACACACACACACACACACACACACACACACACTTTCTGATTAACGTCTCAAACAAAACGTATCTTAACACTATCTGGCGAATCTTCATCTGGCCAGTGTTCACTCTTGAACACACTCTACCTAAGGATACAGCCTGGTCAGTGGAGCAGATGACCTCACGGACGGAGCTGCCCCTTGGAGGACAGGGAAACTGATTGACGATTGCTTGTCCTAACTGGCTCTGGGGTACTCTGACTGGGAAGCTTGGTCGCCTGGAGGAGGTGAGCTTGGAGGAGGAGGGGTCACACCTTCAGGCATAAAACCCAGAGGCCTAGTCCAGATGTGTTTCAGAGAGGAAGTCAGAACTACCAAGCAGGGTCCTGACCACAGACTTCATTAGGCTTCTTGGTTGTGTTTCCTCATTGGCCTTGGACCCCCATCCCCCCAAATGGCTGAGGCCCTCTGTGCCAGCCAGCCATGGTGAGGAGGAGGCCTGAGGGGTGGGGAAAGGTGTGGGGGGAGGGACACAGGCCGAGGTCCTGGAGCTGGTGACAAGGAAGGTTGCGGGTGGGTATTCCTCCTTCTCCAGCTGCACAAGCCCCCTTCTGCCAACAGCACTCCCCACCTGGCCAAGGTTCCTGAAAGAACTGACCCTTCGGTGTCCAGGGCGGGGATGTCTTACCCAAGTGTGCAAATGCATGAAGAAAGGAAGGCATGCACGCATGAGGCTGGGATTCCCCTAATGTGCATCACGACTGCCTAACAGCTACGGCCTAGGGTAGCTCCCAGCTGCCTCATCAGGGGGTCTGGTGATGGCAAACCCTGACTTCCTACAGGGCAGGCAAAACACATGCCACCCAACTCCTAGGGCTACACTCGGCATCTGAAGACCCCATCGAGGCTCTGGGACAAGTTAGGACCCAGACGCTTCAGGCAGAATTTATACTGGAAATTTTGGATGCCTTTAAGAAAACTAGGTCTTCACCTAGAGCCACAGGGGGATTTTCTTGGGGAAACCTTACTGTCCAGTGACAGAAGAATTTTCCAGGATGCAAAGTCATTAAGGGAGGAAACTACAACTGACAGAAAGCCCTGAGAAAGCCAGCATGGCCGTGGATGCATTTTTGGTGGGAGCAGGAGCTTCATTCACGGTTCCTCGGGTTGGTTTCTGAAGACCGACCAAAGCTTACGTCAAACTGGCCCCATGGCAAGATTTCAAGATGGCGTCTACTGCACCACGTGTCCACTTAGCATTTAGGGGCGTGTATCGCGTTTCCCTCCTCGACTATCCTTCCCAGCGTCGTCAGCCCCTCCTGGCACTCCACACCAATCAACCAACCCATCTGCTTAGAGTTCTGAAAGCATGCATCATTTCCTCATGCTTCCGGGTTTTGCTGTGCTGTTCCCGCTCCTCAGAATGCTGCTTCCACCTCTGCCTCGGCAGCCCTCCTTTACCTTTCCTTCACGGCCTACCTCACTGGTCCTCTTTTCTTGGGCTTTTCCAGAACCCTCCACCTTAGGTGAGAGGTCACTTCCTTGATCAACACTCCCTCAGCCACCTGAGTAAATGATATTCTCTATACACCTTAAATGTGTGTGTGTGTGTGTGTGTGTGTGTGTGTGTACATATATGTTTGCTGATCCTAGATCTGCAGTGGGTAGTGTAAGATTCAAACTTTACTGCAGAAAATTCAAACGTATCTTCGTTTACTGTGAACATCGCATTTCAATTCTGCTAATGGCATTGCAGTTAGGAGCTCTTACTCATGAACCTGCCAACCGCCCTTCCCTGGCAGAAGCATCAAAATGGATAAATGCTGGAACTTGAAAAGTTTGCATGAAACTACAAAGCACTTTTAATGACAGTCATCCTTCCGCGGCAGATGCTCTGCGCGTGTTACATATAGAAATTAATTCAGATAAGCACGGCTTCTCGATAAACTGGATGTTGGCAGAGGCTCACGGTTTCATCAGCTTACCTTGGCTTTTTTGTCATCAGCTCCCGTCCCATCTCTGCCTTTACTGACCATGCGAGCTGATAAGATACAAAATGAGAATGTAAGTTACCCCCATTTGCACAGCTCCCAGAAAGAGCCGGACGTAGTCAACGCTGATTTCTCGGGATCAGTGCAACGTGTTTGGTTCAGCTGGGCTTGGTGGGCATTCAGTTGATTTTCTTTCCCCTTCAATCTGTCTCTCGTTGTTAGTATCAACACAGCACACTGGGGTCATTGCTTGGAGCAGGCTGGCCGAGGGTGGGGACATGCAGAGGGGGCGCAGTGAAAACTTGTTCCAGGCACACGCGGACACGGGGGCAAATCAGGATCGGAGACAGCGCAGACCCATCTCACGGGCTCCTTTCCTGTCTTAGCCAGGGTCAACCTCCTCCAGCGGGGACCACCTCCATGCCAAGGAGGGGCATTTGGAGGCCCCAGGGCCACAGATGGGGAAGCTCAGCTATGCTCCGACCTTCTGTAGGACCCCCCCCCCCCGACACTCATGCTGGCACCCAAGGTTCAGGGTAAGTGAGTTGTCTGCCCAGAGCCTGTCCCTCACTAGGGAGGCTACAGTCGCCAGCCCCAGCTGCCCCCTGACAAGCCCACTCCACACCAGCCCGGGAAGGTCTTACTGCCACCTACAGACCCTCCCAAGGGGAGGAAAATTTCCATTGTCCAATGGACATCCTTGCCATTTTCCCAAATTAGCTACAAACTAGTCACTGTCGAACAGCTTAGCAGATCAATTCTGGAGTTTGGAAACAAAACACTGCCGGCTTCTGTGTGTAAAAGCCGCACCCCTTGGTGAAACCACAGGTCCACCAGCACCATCTCTAACCCATCTTTTCCTTCGGTTGACGTTCTTTGTTGACAATTGAGGATAGATTTTCATCTTTGGTTTCAATATCATATTCCCCCTGCCAAAAGGCCAATGGGGTCTCTTGGAGGTTCACACTGGCTACTGGAGCCTGGATTTCTAGAGTGACCCGAACTGATGATCTAGCCCAGAGATTTGCACAATGTACTGCTCAGCAGCACCACTGGGACAGGTTGAAAAAACACAGATTCCTGGGCCCACCCAAGACTCGTAAGTGTAAGGTGGGGCTTAGGAATATGCGTTTTCATAAGAGACCCAGGTAGACTGGATTCACATCTTTTGCCCAAATCAACCACGGCCACCATGTCACAACAAAAGCAGCTGCTAGATATGCACTTCCCAAATCGGGTGCTACTGAACGGGTCCTCTTCCAGGAGATGTTAGCAGGTGGGATCACATAAATTTGGGAAATCCATACTCTGTATCTTTCTCAGAGGGTCATAATGTGCAACTGAATATTAAAGGTTCTGACAAGTCCTGCAGCAGCAAACCTCGCTTCACTTGGCTTAGCCTGTTTTTCCCAGACTAATTGGACCATGGAACTCTTTTTCCCCTGGATACATCTATCGATAGCCAGTGTTCATAAAACACCATTTCAGGAAACGCTCTTATAATCTGCCGCATCACAGGTATTTGTCCCCTAGTATTTTGGAATTTAGGGTATTTTAAAATAAGATATATGATTTCTTTTTTTGGCCTTCAACTTTAATACAGGTTCCTTTATCTACAACATTTCTAAGTTCTCTTGACAAGTAAAATCTAATAAAAATCGAATAGAGGTTTGCAATGGATGGCTCAAGTAACACCCATTTCTGGGCCCTCCAAACACGCGAGAGGTCCTAAAGGTATGAATGCGCCCAACTTGTAGCCTGGAGGCCTCCTCTGGCCTCCTCGTCTTCCTGACAGGACACAGAGACCCCAACATGGGGGAACCTCCCCTCCCACCTCTCCGGCTCCCCAAGGGCTGCTCTGGTAGAGTGGGCTGGGGCTGAGGCCCCTGCAATCCCAGCACAGGGTTCCCCGGGCTCTGCCGAGGGCGGGGGAGGAGGAGATTCGGGACAGGAATGTTTGTTTCTGCTCATTGTCTCCCCTGCCGCAAGGCAGGGCGGGCAGGGGTGGGGGCTGTTAAACCGAAGGCTCAGCACAGGCTCTCGGCTGCCCCCAAATCCTCATACGTGTGTCGTGTGCTGTATGTGATGTGTTGTCCGCTGACAAGAGCAGCACAGGCCAGGCTCACGGCCTCTGTGTCTCTGGGCTCGGAGAACCTTCCAGAAGGTGCTGTGCTGACCAGGGAAGAGTGTGACGTGCACAGCAGACCCGCCCGGATTGTCAATGTGGCTCTGTCACTTACTGCTTGGTGGCCCTCAGCAAGTTACGTTCCCTCTCTGAGCCTCACTTGCCTCATTTGCAGAGCGGGGCTCCTTATGCCCCCTTGGAAGGGCTGGGAGGGTTCTAGACAATGAATTTAGGGCACACAAGTGAACCGGCTGTCATCCGCCCTGGGGAGGGCGGCACACCGACCAGCTGGGGGCTGGAGGACCGTTGTAATTCAAGTGGCCAGAGAAACGAACGGGGCGGAAAGCGCCGGGCGGGTGTTGGTGACATGCAACATGGCGGGCAAGCGTGAGAGCAGCACGTGCTACCAGAGCCTGAGGGGCAGGAGGAGGCCACGGGAGGGTGCGCAGCAGTGCCCGGCTGGTCGGTTGAGTGGTTCTCTCTGGGAACCTCGGAAGCAGCAGGACTCAAGGAAGGGCCGGAAGCTTGGTGGCAGTGCCCGCAGCCTGGGTGGCACACGAGGTCACCAGGAAGGAGCGAAGGAGCCCAAGACACAGACCTTTGAGTTGAGGCACCCGGCTGATGGGCTTCCCTGGCAGAACAGCTGCAGGCTGCTTTTCGGACGGTTCTGGAAGGTCCGACTTTTTTGTGTCCTCTCCCTCAGAAGGGCCCTGGGGCTCTTGCTCCTCTCCAGGGGGGCCGGGAAGTGCAGCCCCTTCCAAATCCACCTCTGAACGTGCCTGTTCCTTCTGCACGTTGGCTTTGATTTCCACGTGGAAGGTGAACCCGGGGGGCGTGTCCTGCCCTTCCGCCGTGGGCCCTGAACCGGGCCCGGGGGGCTCTGAGGCCTCGATCTCTGTGGAAACTTGGGAGAGGAAATCGACAGGGAGGCGGATGGCACCCTCAGCTGCGAAGCCGGACAAGCCAGTGGCTCCTCTGGAAACTGTCTGGGGGGGTGGCCCGCCTCGGACTGGGGAGCTCTGCAGACCTGGGGCGACGTGGGAGCGAGGGGAGTCCTGGGGCGAGGACTCGTCCACATCGCGGTCTTCATCGACATCCTTGCCCCCCCGCCTCTCTTTGCCATGGTCCCCCTTCAGAGGGGGCCCCTCCTGGCGCAGATCTCCCACAAGCTGGTACTCCAGTAGCTCCGCGTCATGACGACTTCCCTCTGTGTCCTCTGGTTCTGTCCCTGAAGGCTGGTGTGTGGCCTCCCTTGGGCCATGAGGCAGGATGGGGGCCCCGGGCGCGTACTGGCGGGGCAGACCTGGGGTGCCCAGGTCGGCGGCCTCGCCTCTCTGGTGCCCTGGCTCCCCAAGGAGGATCTCCTGCACAGCCTTGACACTCCCAGGCTCCGTCTGGAGATATCCAGGGGAGGCGGGCTTCGGAAAGGCCAGACCCCCCTCGACCCCATCCCCTGGTTTTGGTCCCCACTCCTGGTGGGGCTCCTGAGGGCCACCTGTTGGCGAAGGCGGTTGGCAGATGGGATGATGCTGGGAATGGTGGGAGACCACAGGGGCCTCTGGCTGTTTCTCCCCCACAGGCAGCACGGAGGCCCCGGAAGCTTCTCTGCCGTGGTCAGGCTGATCCTGAGAGCTAAACACATTGGCCAAGGGCCTCGAAGGTACCTCCCTCTGCTGGCTGGAAACTCTCAACTCCTCTGGGTTTGAAGAGGCAGCAATGGCAAATGGTTGGCAAGGATGCATTAATTGTTTAAGAGAAGGAACGCGCTCTTGAAATAAGAAAAGGACGTTTAAACAGCATCACGAGGCCAACTAACAAAGAACGAGGAAGGCGGGCTCTGGGCTCATCTTTGTTGTTTTCCTTTGCTCAGAATGAAAGCTCTATTGGCTTACCTAACACTGACTCATTGGGTGACACTGGGTGAGCACCTCCCCTCTCTGCGCCTCAGTTTTCTCATCTGCAATAGGGGTGCTGGACCTGGTGACCTCTACGGCCCCGCTGGCACCAGCATTATCCCTCTGTCACCGGCTCTGGGTGGCCTCGGAGCACGTCAGCATCCAGGGCTGCCTTGTGCTGAATCCACTAGGCCACAGAAGCTTCTCCTTCTCTCCAGGGACACTGAGCTTCCTGAAGATTCTGGCCTCTAGATAGGACCTGGCTTGAGTGCCCCAAGGATCTCTTTTTTCTCCCTCTCTCTGTGTTTCCCCCTTTTGCAAAATGAAACCAGCGGGTGCCCCTAAACCAACCCAGCCTCAAGCTCCACGCTCTGATAGATTTGGAAAATCCAAAATTTATCGTCATCAGGAACCGTAAGGTTCCTATACACAGAAGCACAATTCAGATTTATCTGGCTCATGGGTCAAGTACGGGCCTTTTGCATAAGGTGCAGCAGACCACTGTGGCCGTAAAGGGTCCTGCGTGACAAAGACATCGCCAGCCCGTGAGACCACCGCATTCACATGGTCACACAGCTGGCGGTTGGTGGAGGTCACGTCACCCTTTCTGGCTCATCCCGGTGGCGTTCACGCGAACACTCCTTAAAGAACCTGACCGTGTACTAAGGACAGGAGAGGCATGCTCTGTGGTACTCCTAATAAACATCCTTTTTTTTTTTTTTAAATTCCCACCCTTTAATCCTCCCATATGGTTCCAGCAGGACAACCCATACAATTCCTCTAAACGAAACCTAGAACCCCAAAGATTCAGGGGGCTGGAAGAGCTGAGGGGAGGGTGGTGGAGAATCCATGTGCGGTTGTGGACGCACGGCTAACACGTGCCCGTCTTCTCTCCCCACCCGGGCAGAGTCTGTAGCTGCCTGTTGGCTCGCCTCCACCCCTACCCTGACACCAGGGCCTCGTGATCACGATCTCATTCATTTCCTGTTCCTGCCATCAACCACGGTGCCTGCCACATAGCGATGACCAACGACGGAATGCTGCCTGGTGAACTGCTATCAGGAAAATAGGCTCATTTCTGCTTTCTGCAGGGTCTGCAGCACCTCACTGGGACTGTTGGTCAGCCGCTGGGAAGAAGAGCCCAAATGACAGAGACGCAGGGACCAGACAACCTGAGCAGGTGCCTCAGCACCATGGCTTCTCAGCAACCAACCAGCTCAACAGACCAGAGGCTGAGGCAAATGCTAGTCTTCCCACCTCCCAGACGAGCCATGCATCCTTGCCTTCTGGAAAAGGCTTTCCTCCGAGAGCTTTCTAGAAGTTGCTCTCGGTCAGGACGTTACTGTTCTCTAAAAGACTGTAAGACCTGGAATGACCTTCATTAAAAAAGAGACCAAGGAGGGGGGTGCCTGGGTGGCTCAGTCGGTTGCGCGTCTGACTCTTGGTTTCCGCTCAGGTCACGATCTCATGGTTCATGGGATTGAGCCCCAAATCGGGCTCCGTGCTGACAGTGCTTGGAGCCTGCTTGGGAGTCTCTCT